AAAACATGTATGATGCTCTCAAACGGATTTTAGCTCAAGAAGGATGGGGAGGGCTCTACAAAGGCATAGTTCCATCAATCGTTAAAGCTGCACCCGCAGGTGCGGTGACATTCGCTGCTTATGAATTTACATCAGATTGGTTAGAAACTATTTTAACATGAATTCAACTCCGCCGATTTCTTATCCACGTTCCCCATCTGCAGGGGATCAATTCAAAGTTTGTTTTGATTTTTTTTCTTTCTCCTCCCCTATGATGATGGGGGCTGTTTATATATTGTTTAACTTCACCTGCATTGATGATTGGCTGTGCCAAACTTTATAGTTTTAGGAGGTAGATTATACAGAACATTCTTTCAGGCAACATGGGTTTTCTATAGAGAAATTGCTTATGAGAATTGGGATATGTTTTATCTTTTATCTTTTTACTACATTGGATTGGAGGGGTGTGGTGAATTGTAAAATCTTACAAGTTGGTGAAGTTATATTTCCTGTCCCTGAATGTTTGTTCCATTTTTTCCATATAGCCATTTATTTTTAGTTTTATTTTTGATGAAACGAGAGTGTATATTGATGTTCAAGGATTTATAGTACTTCTGAACTTACGAACGCCCAAGGGTAATAATAAAAATGATCATAATTTTAGAGCTGCAAAGTACTTCCTATGTCTCAATTTAAATCGCATGTTTTAGTTTATGATGTTTGATTTAAATTCTTTTCAAATCATTTTATATGAAAAATGATGTAGAGTTAAAAAATAAAAATTATACATTTAAAAATTACATCAAAACAACTACTCTCTCTGTCCCCCTAAGATGTTCTCATTTTGACTTTTGGTGGTTTTTAAGGAGAGTTGAAAAAAGGTGAAAGTTTACCATAATACTTTTAATGAAAAATGGGTGGAGTGTATTAAATGAGGTGGGTGAGGTGTAATAAATAAAGTAAGTGGGGTAGTTGTGGTATTTTAATTGTTAAAAAATGAAATGAGAAGATTTATTGCGGACAAAGAAAAAGGGCAATTGAGAAGATCTATGGGGGACAGAAGGAGTATAAAAGTAATAGTAATATGACTATATTAGTTTACTAAATGACTAATAATAATAGAAAAAGAAAGTTAATGGTATTTGACCTTGTAAATAATAAATATATAACTTAATTTGGGACAAGGAGAGTATAGAGTATACAAAGATCTGGAGATGTGAAAAAGAAAAACATAGTTTGAGTTGATTTTGCTAGAGTTTTTAAATTTTACAGTATTTTTTTGAAAGATAACAAATTATTTTTCAAAAATAAAATTATAGTAATCTATTTACACTATTTTTAAGTCAAGGAATTTGAGAGGGAAATAAAAGGAAATGAAATGGAAATTTTTTTTTGTTTGTTTGATAGGAAAAGAAAATAAGTTTTTTTATTTTTAAAATGTCTTTAAAAAAGTCTCCTATTCCTTTTCTAGAAAATTTGAATGGCTCACAATCTTTTTCTCTTCTTCTAAATTTTATGCCAAGTCAAACTAAGAGCCTTTGTTTGAGACAAAAAAAAAGTTTTTAAAAGAGATAATTTTTCAAAAAATAGGCTAAATAGAAAAGAGAAAAAAATGTTTTCACATGATGAGGAGAGAATACTATAAATCTTAGTTTTTTATTTTCACCAATAGAGGGGATTATTTGCAAAAGAGAATCAAAAAATAAAAATATGCATGAATTTGTTACTGGGTAAAAAAATTAAAGGAAACAAAAATTAAATTTACTTTGGAAAATTGTTTGATTTTATAGGGATTTATAGCAAATTAAATCCTGAAAACAACAATATTTGCATCCTTTGGATTTAAATTCATACGGTGTCATTTACCCATCCGTATGAAAAACAAAACAAAAAAAATTAAAGTGCGCATCCGGGGAATCGAACCCCGGTCAGTACCGTGGGAGGGTACTATGATACCACTACACTAGATGCGCTGATGTTTAATACTCATTTGGACTGACGACTCAATTCACTCTCCTATGCCTACATCAGAATGAGTAAGCATGAGCCAATGGAAGAAGGTGTAGAGATGCTTACAATCGTGAACAATAGAAAAAAAAAAATACTTTTTCGGTCTCATAATTTCCTTTTTTGTTTGACTTGACACGACTTTAATAAAGTAGAATGTGTTTTGTGTAGAGGAAAAATAATAAATAATACTCCCTCTGTCCCAGAGTATTTGTCCACTTTTATTTTTACACACCATTTAATGCACTTCTTTAATCCATTTTATCTTGTAATTTGTATATTAAAAAATTATAGAATTATATATTAATAATCTACTCCCTCCCTCCCAAAAAGATTTACACCTTTCAAAAAAATTGTGTCCCACAATCTCCTACCCATTTCTATTAAAAAATCACTTTTACCCTTACTTTTTCAAACCATATCTATCACATCATACATTTTTCCTTATAATCTACACATCACATCCTACTTTTACACATCAAATCAAGGTTATTTTTGGAAAGTCAACACAAAATTATCCCTCCTTTAATTTTCACTTTAGTCAAAATGTGTAAAACTTTTTGGGACGGAGAAAGTATATGTTAAGACAAATCAAACAAGATCACACATGACTATATATTTAGTCTTACACATTGAGAGAATTTGATGAGTCAAAGTGCTTAGATGAACAGTTCTAAAAGTCAAAAGTGGACGAATATAGCGGGATGAAGGTAGTATGAATTACATAATTTTTTCTTTAAACGAAAAATGAAAGAAACGTTCTAAGACCACCTAAATAGAATAGTACGAAGATAATTACGGGACGGAGGGAGTATGACCAGTTCCAACCCAGAACATTTTGTCATCTCGTCTTAATAAACGTAGCGCATGCATCCAATAAAAAATTATTCTTATAAAACTCGTTTCGATGACAAAAGATCGAGGAAATTGAGTAAATCAATACCATTCTTTCGTCTTCCTTGACCAAGAGCCAAAATAAGGTTCATTAGATTATAAACTTAAATATTTGAACGTTTTCCCATATGATTCACGTAAAACCATTGTGTACATGTGATTGTATGGGGCACATTTTCGAATGGACCACAAATAGCCGTGTTAATTTATTCCAAAAGATTTGTCGGGTTGAAATTTGCATATAAATATATAGGTCCTTTGGTATGTTGCCAACTTGGGACAAATATACATTTCATGCAAAATTATGTCATATGAAAGAATCTTATTAATATTTTTAAGTCCTAACATACTTTTCACTTTCAACATATTTATTATAAATTTAAGGAAGTCAAAATATGAATTTTAATTTGTAGATGGAATTAATATAAAAAAATCTATAATTAAAAATGGCATTTCTTTTTTTTTTTTATTTAAAGAAAAGTTTATGTACTCTTACCTTTTGACCCTTTTCAAAATGGGAAGAGCAAAAAATCAAAATGCGCATCCGGGGAATCGAACCCCGGTCAGTACCGTGGGAGGGTACTATGATACCACTACACCAGATGCGCTGACGGCAGTAGCCCCTGTTTACACTTTG